GGTAAAACCTGTCAACTCAAGAAGAGAGACAGGTTACTGTCTAGATGGGTCGACACGTCGATGGGAAGTCGTTAGAGTGCAAAATGCCCCCCCCCGTCGCCAAACAGCGCCCACCCACTTTTAAGAGCGCCTTGAAGATGAAAAATCAATTATGAAAAAAATTTTTCAGACCAATTACGAGCTCACTCCCTCCCCAGCGATCAAATACGACACCCCCAACAACGATGTGTCCTGGCTTAATTTCTAATGTCTTGCGAAACTTACGGCCTAACTTATCTCCAAGTGTGATATCTTTGTGCATGACAAAATAATCAGGTCGATGTATCTCGTTTAAAAGCAGACAGTTAGACGGAGGTATTGGCCTTTTCTCTTTCACAAACATATCGATCAATTCGGCAAGTGTTGCTTTAGATTCCTGCAAACTGTTTAGTAAATGCTCGATAAATAGCGATGCATCCGACGTAACATACCGAGTTAAGGCTCCAAATTCCTTTTTGGTACAATACTGGGATGTGTTTCACTTCATTGTTATGACGAACTGTTATACAGTACGTTGGCATCTTGGCTACTGACGTTCTCCGCACAAGATAGTCACCTTCACGCTGGAAACAAAAACATTGAAAAATTCAGTTCGGGGTATTTTAGGCGTCGCACTGCAAGCAAACTGGCAGGAAGTTTCCTGACAGTGAAGCTGAGGGGTGCGCTGCGTCCGTAGGCGTCCATCATCGGGTAAGTTACATCCATTGAAGGTAGCGAGTACAAAAAAAAAACTGAACCGCGATGAATTACATATTAATAGTTAGTTATTAATAGTTATCAATAGTAAATACTTACGGGGAACCCACTGCCCACCCAGACACGGCAGACGCCACTACCCACGCCTCCACGGATTATGTCACGACTCGCAGTATGCCCGGATGACTGTCCGCGCCCCTCATTAGAGGTAGTGAGCTGGATTGCTGGAGACTAGCGGTTGTTCCTAACGTCCCTGATAAAAGGGCTGCAGGGGTGTCTGGCCACTCATCCCACCCGCCAGTGACGTTGGCGACAACCTCCCGACCTCAGCAATCGTATCCACTGCCTTCAAACTACATTCAGCTTTCTGGCCTTTGCTGTTTCGGGGACAGAGTCTGAGGTCTCATCGAGACAGCTTCTTATAGGCCCATCAAACCAGTCCATTGCTTGCGGCGGCGCTCCATTGCAGTAGTCCAGCGCAGTTCGGCGGCGGGGGGGGCATTTTGCTTTTTCGTTGCTTCACTAGTTCCGGTTTACAAGTCTCACTCTGGTGAAACCTGTGAACTCTTGTGAAGCTGGAGCAAGCTCGTCAAGCCATCACTGTGAACCTGTCAACTTGAGGTGAGGCTGCCTAGATTGGGCAAGTAGCAAACGTGCAAAATACCCCCTCCCCGTCTCCGAACTGTGCCCAGTAGTTCTTCACAAAAACCCCAACACTTACCTTCACCATCTCTTCGCAGTCTTCTCGTGGCATCATTGCGTGGAACCATTGGTATTTTATAAGAAGTTTATCCATTTCCTAAAGACTTCCGATTATTGAGAACCAATTTGTCGAATCAGAAATAAATATCTACCTTGAAAGGCGCCTCAACGATTGGATCATGTTCCACTGTACTGCGCAAATCCGCCTGCTTAGCTGTGAGTAGAGACTGAAATATAAACAACAGCATAGAGTTGTAGCAATTGCTGCGGTGGAACGTTCCCACAGTTCGTTTAGAATGAAACTCACTTTTTTACGCTTTTTTAAATTGATATATTCAAATTGTTAGTGAACTGGGCACAGGTCCAATCTCGAATCCGCCAGCGATCGGCAGCTACTGTAGGGAGTATGGGGCGAAAGGAGTTTCCCGGCAGTCTGCTACCCTTCTATAGCCCGATACTCTCTCTTTTTCCGGACGCAGCTGGTCGCTTGCGTATGCGGTAGACGATGCTAGTCGGTAGTCGATATAGCACTCAAGAAGTGCTGCTGGACGCTGATGGTCGCTGGTAGACGCTTGTGGACGCTAGATCGATATCTAAGTTTCCCAGTCGCTGACGCCGCCGGACGCTCGGAACGCTGGTGGGCGTTGCCGCAAAGTATCAGGTTGTCCCAAAAGTGACCGTTTTTAGAATCTCGTATCAGAACTTTCCGTAGCCATTTCGAGATCCAGTTATGTGGTCTATGGGAAGTGTGTTGAGTAAGCATCCCACAGCTTCTTTACCGTCCCTCGCAGTCGCTGTTCTCATATCCAAAACGGTAATTGAAATTCATCATTTTCGACACACTTCGCTATATGAATCTCCACCAAGCCACAACGTGGTTGGTGCCACACGCGGCATTTCTCTGAGTTAGGTCCTGATGTACCTTCCACAGTACGGCGCTGAAATGGCCCGATCGCTTCCGCTTTAGTGACTTCTATCTGGGAGAAAAACTTCGTCCAAGGAGGCCACCTGCCTTGGATTTGGACCTACTGTGTTCCTTGATTAAAACCAATACGTACAAATCAACTCGC